TAGGCGAGTGGTCAATATATATCCTTCAAATACCAAATCCGAGTGTACCAATTCTTAAAAGGCCGGCAACGCCTAGTGGGAGTGCCATGCTGTTGCCTTCGGGCTTCAGCCAAATGGGCAGGCACGACCGGGGCAGTACCACTGTCTCTCAGAAAACCGGCGTGAAGTGATGCAAAAGGTTCGCCTTCTTGTACTCGCGTTTCGTGCGGTGAGAGAGATTCCCGGAGCCCATCCCCCCACACAAGAAATATGAAGGTGCAGAAAAAACAGAATCTACCCCAGGGGGTACCACACGCGCTCGCGGTGGAGAATCCCCCTCTGGGCGTCCACCACCGGGACACTCAGCACCCGGTGGTGGACGCACAGGCTGCCCTTCGTATTCTGGGGGGCAATTCTGCGCTCTACAAAAATAGTAATCGTCCTCGGGGCAAACGGAGCAATTATACAAAGGCACCCCCGTCCACACTCGCCGTGGACTTCACAAATGTTAGGGGGCTTAATTCTAACATCAACGCTGTCCACTATCATCTAGAGACTGCGAAGCCGGCCTTGCTCTTTCTTACCGAGACTCAGATATCCTCCCCGGCTGATACTTCCCACCTATCCTACCCGGGGTACAAATTGGAACATTCATTTGTGCCGCGGGCTGGAGTTTGCGTGTACGTCAGAGAGGATATCTGTTCTCGTCGCCTCGGGACGCTTGAAGGAAGGGACCTATCTAACCTCTGGCTGCGCGTAGACTGCGATGACCATCCGCGATTCTACGCATGCCTGTATAGGTCCCATAGCGGAAATACCGAAACTGACCGACTCATTGAGCACATCCAAATGGCTACAGATTCCCTGCTCGAAAGGGTTCCTACCGCTGAAATCGTGATACTTGGCGATTTTAACGCCCACCATGCCGATTGGCTCGGCTCTGAAACCACCGATCACGCGGGAAGATCCTTTCACGACTTTGCTTTAGCCTACGACCTGACACAAATGGTCCCTGCGATTACGCGAATACCAGATGTGGATGGTCATAAACCCTCTTTGTTGGACCTTCTGCTGACTTCTCATCCGGAGAACTATCAAGTCTCTGTTGACCCGCCATTGGGTTCATCAGATCATTGTGTGGTCCGGAGTACTGTGCCATCTACGCGCCCTTCACGGCCCCGCTTTATGGGTTGTCGCCGTATTTGGCACTATAAGTCAGCAGATTGGGACGGGATGCGGTCTTTCTTTGCGTCCTACCCTTGAGGGCCTATGTGCTTTTCGCCGGAAGCTCCAGATTCCGTCGCCGCCTCTGTCGCCGAAGTGGTTCTGCAGGGCATGGAACTCTTTATTCCATTTTCTGCGGTGCCGATCGGTGGCAAGTCTCAGCCCTGGTTTAAACGTTCTTGCAAGGCGGCCTCGCGTCGAAAGCGAGAATGCTTTAAGGCATGGGCGGAAGCGGCGAAATCTCGTGATGCCAATACCAGCGAACTTAAAAAAGCATATAACTCAGCCTCCAGGTCCTTCAAACGGGAAATCACTAAGGCAAAGTCAGAGCACATTGCCAGATTTGGCGAGAGATTGGCCCAACTCCCATCAGGGACTCGAGCCTTCTGGTCTCTCGCCAAAGCTGTCCAAGGGAATTTTTGTCAGCCCGCCATTCCGCCACTGCACAGGGAGGATGACTCTCTGGCCCACACTGCGAAGGAGAAGGCTGACCTTTTGGGCTGTCTCTTCGCGTCTAACTCGACTTTGGATGACCGAGGGAGATCACCACCGACCATTTCGCGGTGTGATTCTTCGATGCCGGAAATCACATTCCGGCAACGTGCTGTCCGCAAAGCACTATCTTCCTTGGACATTCATAAGTCGAGCGGGCCGGATGGTATCCCCCCAATTGTGCTGCGTACTTGTGCTCCTGAGTTGGCTCCGGTCTTAACGCGCCTTTTCCGGTACCTGTACTCGCTCGGCACTGTCCCGAAGTGCTGGAAGACCGCTTTGATACATCCGATCCCTAAAAAAGGCGATCGCTCTGATCCGTCCAACTATCGCCCAATAGCTATAACCTCCTTGTTCTCCAAAATAATGGAATCCATTGTTAATTGCCAGCTCTTGAGGTATCTAGAGGGCCACCAGCTGATTAGCGATTATCAGTACGGCTTTCGTCGTGGTCGTTCGGCTGGTGACCTTCTTGTATACCTTACACATAGATGGGCAGAGGCAATTGAGTCCAAGGGGAGGCGCTAGCGGTTAGTTTGGACATATCGAAAGCCTTCGATCGGGTGTGGCACAGAGCACTGCTCTCGAAGCTTCCAGCCTATGGGCTTCCCGAGAAATTACGCAATTGGATCTCCAGCTTTCTGGCCGATCGGAGCATCAAGGTCGTCATCGACGGAGCATGTTCCGACCTAAAACCCGTAAACGCTGGGGTCCCACAAGGCTGTGTTCTATCCCCGACCCTATTTCTTCTGCATATCAATGATATGTTGAAACTTAGCAACATTCATTGCTATGCGGATGACAGTACTGGGGATACTTTTTACACTGGCCGGGCAGGTATTTCTCGGGCAGTTGTTGATGAGTACCGGAACAAACTTGTGTCTGAAGTTGAAACTCTACTTCGTGGAGTCTCAGATTGGGGCAGACAAAACCTAGTCCAATTTAACCCCAAGAAGACACAAGTTTGCGCGTTTTCCACTAAAAAAACACCCTTTGTCGCTACTCCTCTTTTCGAAAACACTCTTCTTAAAGCCACAGCCAGCATTGGAATACTTGGCGTTGACATATCGAGCGACGTTCAGTTTCGCGGTCACTTGGAGGGAAAGGCTAAATTAGCCTCAAAAAGCTTGGTGTGCTCAGCAAGGCGAGGCGGTACTTCACTCCGGGCCACCGCATGCAACTATATAAAGCGCAAATTCGGCCCCACATGGAGTACTGCTCTCACCTCTGGGCGGGGGCTCCCCAGTACCAGCTCCTTCCACTTGACCGTATACAACGCAGAGCGGTTCGAATCGTTGACGACCAATCCCTCTCCGAGCGGCTTGATCCTTTGGCGTTGCGTAGAGATGTGGGGTCACTCTGCATCTTCTACCGCATTTACCATGGAGAGTGTTCAGAGGAGTTGTTCGGATTAATACCTGCAGCTGAGTTTCATCATCGGACGTCGAGGCAGAATACGAAATTCCACCCGTATCACCTCGACGTCCGACGTTCCACAACTGAGCGTTTCTCAAGGCAGTTTTTGCCGCGCACCACCACTATGTGGAACCAGCTGCCCACTGAAGTATTCCCGAACCAATTCGACTTAGGGTCCTTCAAGAAAAGAGCGTACCAATTTTTAAAGGCCGGCAACGCACTCGCGAGCCCTCTGGCATTGAGAGTGTCCATGGGCGGCGGTATCACTTAACATCAGGTGAGCCTCCTGCCCGTTTGCCCCCGTTCTATAAAAAAAAAAAAAAAAAAAAAACGCACTTGCGAGCCATCTGGCAGTGTGGGTGGGTCCTCCCAGGCCCAAAATCGTACTATACTCTTTAATCTTGGTTTGATTCCCATCAAGACTAATTGGTTCGAATATAAAGGCAGAAAAATATGTACAGTGTCCAACTTGTCCAAAATACAAAAAAAAAACTAGTTACGTAAATGAGGCCGAATCGCTCTTTTATCGGATAAGTGATTTTGTATGGTACTCGCGTAAAGCTCCGACATCTTTATACAATTTTAAAATGGCATAAATTTACACGACACAATAGCATTACGCAGAAAAACTCTTTACTTTCTACGGACAGAATGTGCTCCAGCGAACGTGTTCAATCTTATTTATCCACCTGTCTTAACGATAAAAAGCTCTTGAATACACTTTAAAAATACTCCAGTAATTGCAGCTCTGAGTAAGATATTTTTTGCCAGACTCCGCGGTGTCTGCGCCGCGTTGGCCTTGGGCGGCGGACGTTCACTCGCCAACCACAGTCAATCGCCAAAAGTGTTTTTCATCTAAACATTCAGAAGATTCGAAAATTTCTTTGACAATCGTGAAACAGAGTTATGTCCTTTAAGATATTTTAACTTTTGCTTTTAAATAATGGCTGAATAGAAATGATATAACTCTGTTTTTTGAAATCGAATTTAGGACATCTCGGTTATAGTGTAGTGCATGACGTCATTAAAGTCATATCAAATGATCTGTCAAGTGACATCATCCATAAAAATACCTCACTGAATCTACGGCATATTTTACAAAATGTTCCATCTAAAATGTATGACAATTTAAGTAAACATAAGTGTTACAAAAAAAAAAAAAATACAAGATAAAATAAGCATACAATAAAATTACCAGAAATTTTTGGCAAAGCAGAAAAAAACAAAAATCAACAGCAAAGAAATCATCAGAATAATAGAAATAATAAATAAGAATATAATAGGCTGACTCATTTTAATGTGTAAAATTCTTATTAATAAAAAATATAAATAAATACTGTATAAAACTAATCAAAAACATTAAAAATATCGTTTGTGCCTATAATCTGTGTTCTGTCCAAACAAAAACATTTTAATATATCAATAACCTAATGTGTTTTTCTCCGTTTGTTCTGGGTTAGATAATTTAATAAACAAATGAAAATGTCACTTTCAAACCACTAACACCTCGAGGGACTCGAAAAACTATTTTATTAGTTAATGTTATTTTGAGATAACGGCTAGACCCTCGTCTTCAGCAAGCCACCTGTCACCCACACCTCGCTTTAATGTAATTTACACTTGCTTTATCTAGATTTAAATCGCAGGGCTTGGTTTATTTTAGTATTTAACTATGCAAAGAGTTTTTACTAAACAACTGAAACAGTTACCAACTAATTATTTTTATAACAGAAAAAAAGATGCCGCTACAATCACTTTAGGTCTTGGCCTCAGATTTCTGAATCTGTTTCATAATAATTTTTAAATCTAAAAGGCAAGTAGGTGATCAGCCTCCAGTGCCTGACACACGCCGTCGACTTTTTGGGTCTAAGAATGTCGGTTTCCTCACGATGTTTTCCTTACCGTTCGAGCAAATGTTAAATGCGCTCATAGAAAGAAAGTCCATTGGTGCACAGCCGGGGATCGAATCTACGACCTCAGGTATGAGACTCGCACGCTGAAGCCACTAGGCTGCTCACTGCTCAATATATTTATAACAGAACGTATATCAATAAAGAAATGATAAAAAATAAGTACACAATATGATAACCCTTCTAGCTGTGAACTTCAGGGAGGTAAATGATAAAAATTAGGCTTTCATTCCGATCAACAGATTCAAATTCTATATAAAAACAGATTTTAATCGGGCGTTGCCGACAAAGTCAATATAAGTTGTGATATCTCTTTTAATAATCAAATATATTTTACTTTTTTGTGCGTAATACACACATTATTAAATTATACCAATTAATAAAGCTCTATCTCCCCAGGTCCCATATGCGGAGGGCAGTGCTGCGGTCGAGGGAGAGAGACCCACTTAACATCAACTCTCAGACAAAATGCCGAAGATAAAATAGCAGCTGCCACCAGGCCTATTGCTGAGCTTTTGCTGGCCACCAGGAGGACATTGCAAGGTGAGCTTTGTTAACCGCGTTAATTACATACATTTCGTAATTCTTTCATACATAAGGTTCGGGACAGTACAAATGTGCTATTCACCACCGGGCTACAATCATTACAATACATTGAGTACCGCATTCGATGCATTCAATGCAATGAGTTCACTTCTAGAACCCAACAGTTCTAAGAACTCGATTGAAATTACAACGCGAATAAAATTATCAACAGACTGCGTTAGAAACCGGACAGACTCATTTCACTGCACAGCTTTACAACGCGCTAACTTGTTAGGCATTTGACATTAAACTTCAATTCAAAATGAAATGACGTATTACAGCTCGTATGACACAGGTCAATTATGAGTCGAAACTAAGCGCTCAGTTCGATACTCATAGTCTGTTCTAAGTGAACTCGAGACTCGGCATAGACTATTACTCTAAGTCATGCCGCTTAATTTCGTAGTAACCAGGATGATCCGTGCTCCATAGAATACTCATTGATATTGCCTATACCAGTTACCGCGCACAATACTCAAAAAATCCCAAATCTAGATGCTTCCACTTTACAGCGCACACTTTCCAATCATAGATATAGACATAACATTTATTACTAACAAAACACACACACACAGAAACACACAAAATAACAGTCAGCATTGACTCAACATTATGCTGAGGAGCAGACTGTTCCACAGCGCTGGCCATTCTGCTAGTTAAAAAACATTAATAATACTTAGAAGAAAAAAAAATTGTAAAAGTTAACACAATGTAAGTAATGAAGTGCTGTTTGAAAATAAAATGAAATTAAAAATTAAAAATAATTATTGAGAAATTGATAAATAAATATTTTTGGGCGATTTAAGTCTAGATTACGTGGGAATTTTGTTGAGTAACAAGATGTTCTTTATAGCTGACGAAAATTTGATTTTATCAGTCAGTTAATGCAAAAGGATTTCACAGCCCATTCACGGTGAAACAATAATTGTTGAACTGTTAATCACAGAGGCTTTTAATGATGAATGGGACAGCTGATGCAAAAATGTGTGGTACAATCCCAGTACACTCAAAGACTGCCTTTGTCCAATTGAAGTAGTTTTTAAACACACCTGTCCCCTATCCCTGTATGTTATTGCTTCAAAGTGTCGATCAATAAAATAAATACCGAATGCATTCACCACACGGCTCTCAGCTGACATATAAAAGTGACGTTTATGTCCATTATGACAAGGCCTAAAGTAGTGTACAGATGTTATAACAATAAATTGTTGGAATTTTTTATCGAGCGATATTGTATAAACGGTAGGACAAATGGAACACTTTGTCATTGTTATGTTTAATTTGAAAATATAATCAATAGTCAAGTAAACCACCCTGTGTAATTATTAGCTGTTTTTGTACATTGCAATATATATATGAAGTGGTCCGGTCTATCTGTATGAACACGATCTTCAAGCAGATTTTTGGTGAACAGGTCTCAAAAATCGTGCCAAAATTCAAGAAGCTAACTTAACAACTAAAACAAATCAATGGCGCTACAACCTCGTTGCCTTTGGCCTCAGATTTCTGAATCTGTTTCATGATCATTTTGAAATCGAATAGGCAAGTAGGTGATCAGCCTCCTGTGCCTGTCACACGCCGTCGACTATTTGGGTCTAAGATATGTCGGTTTCCTCACGATGTTTTCCTTACCGTTCGAGCAAATATTAATGCGCACATAGAAAAAAAGTCCATTGGTGCACCGCCGGGGATCGAACCTACGAACTCATGTTTGAGAGTCGCACTCTGAAGCCACTAAGCCAACACTGCTCAACTAACACGCATATACACATGTAACATTAAACTATATAAGTATATTAACACTATAAAATTAAATTATTGCAACTCTCAACCCGATATCATAAAAATAACAATAATTTCTCCGTTTCAACAAATCAATTTTATATTAAACTGCCGCTTTATCTGCCATAAAATTTAATGAGCATGCTATTAATGTTATACCGGGATACTCCTGTTTGCTTACCTTTAACTAGACAAGCACATTCAGTATCGTAAGACCATCTCGTAATATAAGGAAATCTTAAATCGGACTATTATGTATCTGCATCTTTGATAATTTGATTTATGGTATGGTTTGTAAGTGTTGCATTAATTCAATAAATACACTTTCTTCGCTTCTTTGGCGTCCATAAGTACCAATATGTATCTACCATAAATCAATTTAGATTTGATAAGTCAAATACATATAATAATAGTACGCGAGTAAAACACAGCTAAATAAACCTACTTTAATATATAATGGTGAATGGTGATATTATTATATTATTTACATAAGTCAGTGGAATATACAGTGTAAACTCTTCATAACGAATTTCAAGGGACTTCGGCACCTCAATAGGTTAGTTTTGTAATCTGACTATAAAAACGATTACACTTTAGTATGTTGCTGATGTCTAAATATGAAAATATTTATTAAATATTTATATATAGATTACACTGTACGTATTAAAAAAGTTTGATTTGAATAACAATGTCTTGCAACAAAATGCAAAGCTGAGCCGAAAAGCTTTTTATGCGTCCAAGTACCAACTCACGCTAATGATGTTCACATACTTCATTCCCGAAACACTGACACAGAAAACGCCCCCAGGAACATAAGCGATGCTCAAAGTGACAAGTGCGTTGACCTCTGCGAGTGGGTTAAAACAATACGTACTCCGAACCCTCGCTTAACCAGGAAACTAACCTAGGGAAACCCTTTCACTATCACTGCTAGAGTAGTTAATACGTTTCGATATTACACAAGACATACACTTACGAAACTTAGCACGTACTAAAGACAAGTGTCAAGCCCTACATTTTTAAAATCGGTTAACAATATTGAAAATCCAGTGGCGCTCCAACCTTTAACATGGGTTTTGTGATTTTTCTAATAGACTTTCGGCTTTGGTTCTAAGGCCGGTTTTCTCAGCATTTATTCCGCGTCACGTGCGAGTTTCTCGGGGTGGACTGTGGTGCGCAGTGGAGAGCTTGAGCACTGAAGCGCGCCGGCCCGTAATAACAATTAGTTATGTAAAACATTAATAATGGAATTATATCATTTTTTTTTCTGAAATGGATTACTTGGCTTGCGATAAAATATATCGTGTAAATTTCAAAATCATGTTCTATATACATTTTCGATTATCGTCTTAAAATGAATTCAAAGTGTCAAAAATTGGCTATGTTTGGTTTTTTTTCTATCGAGCGAAGTTATTTAAATCGTGTATCGATCTTTCAAAATGGATACATAAACTACTCAACTCCATATATTTTTTCCATTCGTGAAGTGGCGAAAAATGGAAAGAAACAATGTACTTTTATGGAGTTTGGCGACCGGATAGGTCCTTAAAATACGCACATTGAAAGTTCATCGGTGCACAGCCGGGGTTCGAACCTACATGAGAGTCCACGCGGAGGCTAACACCCAATCTATATAACAATATTGAAACTAATTATAAAATTGTAATCATGCAGTACGAAACCCTAAGTTACGTGGTAGCCATACATGCCTACGGTATACAAGTGACAAAATCGCATCGTATCACGTTTTTCGAATAAACTTGGGAACTTTAAGTGCCCTCTTATTCACTGCTACTACTTAATAGCCTCAAAACGTGACTCATATAACATAATTATATTAATCTACTACGTTTATATATTTAGAAGCTTTTAACTTGGAGATTGAGTAGCGGAGAGTTTCTCGCCAGTTCTTCTCGGGTCTTCTACGCCCTTGATTTGGGAACTCGCTGAAATAATGTTAATTTAGAGGGATTATCATTTTACGGCTTTAATATGTTTTCTTGTATATAATCTAATGTTTAATTAGTTATTTATACTTTATTTTCGGACGCTACCTTTGACCAAAGACTTTGTTTTGACATAGCATAAGGTTAGTTGTGAAGTCCCGTAATCCACTACAGTGGGAGTAATTACGTCTTATGCAATTTTAATAATTTTTGTAATCGCCAAAGTTGATGCTTATAAACTATAATTTTATAAAAGACAGGTTTGGTTTTCTACCTTGTCTAATAAATGTGAAGATATTCACGAAAAATGGAGCAAAACTTTTTAATTGTTGTGGTCTTTTATCGACTTTTGTTCTTAGAAAGCTTCCTTAGACAAATTGGCTTTTAATTACAGATGCCTTTAATAAAGTTTTACTTGACTTTATAAGCCCTTACTTGTACACAATTCTATGGTAAAAGTTTATAAAAAACAAATGATTTTTTTTTCAAATTTGGGTAAACGTAACTTTATCGTGTAAACATAAAACCTATTCTTAAATAAATATTTCATAATATATAAAGTGACAGTTAACGTGGATTTATTATAGTTTGTGATAGTACATTTAAGTTGAAAGCCTTCAGAGGACTTAAAAGATGAAAAGCTCTTATTTATTGAACGTAGAGCCAGGGTTAAGAGGTTCTTTCTTAAACCCATTAAGTGTCGCTTTTAAAAGAAAATGCAACTTTATGGATTTCATACAAATTAAAGAAAAATATTATATAGTTTAATGTGCGCATGTGAGCAATACAATCTTTCAATTTCATGACATTTCTTCACAGATTTAGTAGATAGAGAACTGGGACATGGAAAACTCTTTTAGTGTAGTAGTGTACAAATTTGCCATTAGATATTGTTTTATTTATTTATACGTTCTAAAACAATGTGTATGCCTAAAAAAATACAAGAAAATATGACGTCATTCAAATGTGTTCCTAAATAAACTATTGATAGGTACATTGACCGCCACCGTGGTTTTAGTGGCTAAGTTTATTGAATTCTAAATATGCAAAGAATGTAACATTGACAGTACTAGACTATCTAAAGTTAGTAATTATTTTTTAGGAAAAAGGGATACTTTTCTTTTATAAAATCCCAGAGAAATGTATTAAAGAAAAGCTGTGTAAAAAGGCTTACTATAAAGTTAACGATTATCTAGTTGATAAAAGGGACTAGTGCTAGACAGGTTACTTCTAATTAAATTGCGATATTTGTTTTAAAATAAGTGTTGTTTGACATAGTCATTTTTTATGATGATTTGCTATTTTAAAAGAGTACCGAAAGTTTTTCTCTCGGCCTACACCCTCTGTCTTCTTTGTCGATGAGTAGGAATGTCTACCGATTGAAATTTAATGACGTGGAAAAGTGATTCCATAGTAAACATATTTCATTTTATTTTTTTATTTTATTTCCCAAGTGTGAGCGCAGTATATGTGCAATCTTAATTAATATAAAGGGACGGACAACCGACTAAATATTACATGATGTGAATTAATACGAAATTTTATCACGTAAACTTAAATATTATAAACACTATCTCGAGAATGTTAAACTTTTAATATAAGCATTCCAAGATAAGGGTGAACTTATGTATTTGTTTAGGTTTGTTTAGTTTAAGTTGCGCTGTAACTGTAAAGTACACACGGAGATTTGTTGCACCATAGTTATCAAAGGAATTTAAAAGCTGGCAATACAACTGTTGAGTACAGTGATTGCGATTGTGAGGGATGGAAAAATTAATAGACTTTTTAAATAATTTTCACAATTATTTAAAAAGTCTCATACATATAAGGAGTTTGACGACTCATTGGTCTAGTGGTTAGTACCCCTGACTGCGCATCCATGGGTCCCGGGTTCAATCCCCGGCTGAGACGAACATCGATGTGATGAGCATTTGGTGTTGTGCTTAGGTCTTGGGTGTTTAAATATGTATTTATATGTCTATCTATCTATAATATATATGTATATCCGTTGCCTAGTACCCATAACACAAGCTTCACCAGCTTAGCATGGGACTAGGTCAATTGGTGTGAATTGTCTTTAAAAAATTTTCGTTGTGTTGTTTTAATATGTCGTGTGAACGTTTCACATATGGTATGTTAATTCCTTACAATCCTGAAACTGAAACGTAGTCGAGGATCTTTTTGTTCTAGATTCTTGATTAAGAAACAGGCTGTATATTCGAAATCATTATTTGCATTGACAGTTAACAATTTTTATCATTACGACACGATAACATATTGTCACAGATATCAAAATTAAAATATCATTAATAAAGGTATTTGATTTGTCTGAGTTAAGTGTAAGCTTAACAATTTCATAAAAAATATTATATTATACTAGCTGATCCGACAAACGTCGTTTTGCCATGTATATCATTTATAATAAAAAAGGGGTGAAAATTAGGGGTTGTATGTATTTTTTAATGCTGTATCATAAAAAAATACAAATTATCCAGAAATAAAAAAAAAATAGGGGTGGACTACCCTTAACATTTAGGGGGATGAAAAATAGATGTTGTCCGATTCTCAGACATACCCAATATGCACAGAAAATTTCATGAGAATCGGTCAAGCCGTTTCGGAGGAGTTTAACTACAAACAGCACGACACGAGAATTTTATATATTAGATAAGGGAAGCTTTCTCACGATAATGAGTTTTATTGAATATAATATTATGTTTGATTTAAACCGTTGGGAGAAAAAATGCGTTTGTTAGAAATACATATATTGTTCAATTATAATAAACGTGTACATAGTTTAGATTATATATCTTTATAAATTTAGATAGAGTCATTTTGTTGCCATTATTCCTAGTTAGAGTTAGACGACCGATCCTAAAAAACTTTGAAGCAATATTTAAAATGTTAGAGATAAGATTAGTTGTTTAATAATTGTATTTTATCTGCGTAAAGTTCGTACGTCTCGGCGAAATTACCTCATCAATCATGCAGTTAATTCGATTTACCAAATGTAATACATTTTTTTATAAAATAATTGATCTATAAACGCCGTCAGTCGGCAGCGGTCGTTGCCCTCAGTCATTACATCTCTGAAATAGATCCGCAAAAAATGCGTCGCCTAGATTGCTGCTCGAATTACGACCGATCTAGACAAATTGACAGATTTCTTGTCTCGATTTGAATAACTTATTTCTATATTCAAAGTCAAAGTAAAAATAACTTTTTTCATATAGGTAAACAAGTACACTTATGAACGTCAGAAAAGAATTTTAATTAATTGTAAATTTACATTTACTACCAGTTCACAAGTCAAGAGCGTAGAGTGAGCAAAAAGAACTGGCAAGAAACTCTCCGCCACTCTTTTTAATCGCTAATCATTAAGGATCATTTTAATATTCGTCAAGTTTATAAAATGCTATATTGATTAATTTACGTTTAACTAGAGCTTTGAATTTATTTAGTGATAATTCTCTAATTTCGCTTGGGAGTTTGTTGTAGAAACGAAAACAATTTCCTATAAGGAATGGGTTATCTTCTGGAGCCTGGTTGGTCGTACGCTTAGATTAGTTCTGTTTCGCGTATTATACTGGTGAAAGTCACCATTTGTTTTAAAATCGTTTGTATTTTTGTACATACAACAAGGCTTCAAGAATATATTGACCAGATAGTGTCATAAATTCAGTATGCCTTTGCAAATCTATGTTTTAAGAGCTATATTTGCTTAAGAAACAGAGGAGCCTTGCTGATATAAATATACTATACGATTTAGCAAGATTGTGTCGTACTATGTTGTATTTAACAATGGTCTTGCTTTGACGTTTATGGAAAAATCTTCAAAAGTATGGAAACCAAATTAGTAAATAACTAGACAATAATTCCCCTGGGTGGGGAAGCTGTATGAAGCATGAGCAGATAGCATATTCAAAAAGGAACGGCCATCCAAATCCGCACACTAGCGCTAGCCTGTGCTGATGATTATCTGCTTTCCTCCTTTCCTTATACGTAATTCTAATTGCCAATCTGAAGTCTCAGTAATGTCATGTATTTTGTAAATTTTTTCCTGAGCATTCAATTTAATTACATATAACATTAAACAAAAAATTAACCTCAAAAGAACAATATAAACAATAACCTTAAAATATAATAACTAAAATGTACATAGTATTGTCTTTGATTTACATAACCTTTACACATTTAAAGAAAAAACTGTTTGACCGGATTGAAGTTATGTATTATTATAAATTTACAACTATTCAACATAATTTTAAATTTATCCGACGTTTCGCGTGCTTTACAGCGTGCGTGGTCACGGTGACTTTAAAATTATGTTAAATAGTTGTAAATTTATAATAATACATAACTTCAATCCGGTCAAACACTTTTTTCTTTAAACTAAAATGTATTATTAAAATGAGTCCCTTTTTTGTAGAACAATGGGCAAACGGCCAGGAGGCTCACCTGATGTTAATTGATACCGCCGCCCATGGACACTCTCAATGCCAGAGGGCTTGCGAGTGCGTTGCCGGCCTTTTAAGAATTTTCTTGAAGGACCCTAAGTCGAATTGGTTCGGAAATACTTTAGGCAAGGTTCCTAAGATACTGGCAGCGTTCCCCCTTTGAATAGCTAGACAAATTCTTTGTCCGAGGTAGCTGCCAGCTCTTCGGTCTCCTCTCACGTCGATTAACCTTTTTGCTATTTCCTTAAAAAGCCTAATATAGCTCTAGGACCCCACGGACCAAGGGTCTCGACACCGAATGGGAAAAAATCATATTTGGAGCCTAGACCCCAGTATTTGCAGGCTTTAGCTTTTTCAGCCGCATCACAAGCCGCACCAGCTCTGTTGTTGGTTCCATGTAGATGGGAAGGGGCCAGTGTGTCTGAACAGGTTGCATCCCACACCAGCACGCGGCCCATCTTCCATGGAACCAAACTCCTACCGTCCGGTCACTTGCCATCGTCTCTTGCAATTCCAGTCGGCAATTTATTTTGTAAATAGTGTAGTAATAGAAGTTATATAAAGCTAAATGACGTTTTTTTTTTTCCAGAGCACCTAACAGCCCTGTCGCACCAGTCACAGAACAAGACAGCAGCACTCTTGTCCCAACTGTATAGAGGCCACGCCACGAGGGCTCATACTCCCTTAGCGACCCTATACGATGACATAAGGACTTTACTTCGATCCAATCTAGAGACTGAAGATGCCGTTGACCTGGGCTCCCCGCCGCCCAAAGAAATGGCGCAGAGTACGAAGAAATTCTTCAGAGAAGTATTTCCCGTGGCGTATCAAAACGTACTAAGACTAGACACGAAGCAATTCACGACCGCCTATGAGGCGTGTTTGAAGGACGCATATGATGCTGTCCAGCCTTTTGGAGACGTCCCCGAACAGGTATATAATACGTTATTTAATAATAATAATCAATGGCGGTACAACCTATTTAGGTAGGGCCTCAGATTTCTGTATCTGATTCATGATCATTTGGTAATCTAATATGCTTCTGTGCCTGACGCACGCCCTCGACTTTTTGTGTCTAAGGCAAGCCGGTTTCCTCACAATGTTTTGAATGAGCGAATGGTAAATGTGCACATAGAAAGAAAGTCTATAGGTGCACAGCCGGGGATCGAACCTACGACCTCAGGGATGAGAGTCGCACGCTGAAGGCACTAGGCCAATACTGCACTGCACAATGCACATATACGTTATTTAGACAACTAATCTTAAGCGTTTGTTATGAAGGAATAAATCATTTTTGATTCGTCATTATGTATTGATATGCCGTGCTAAGATGATTTTGTTTTTATATTATTGAGTAACTTGCCCTTAAAAAGTATATAATTTCATTTTTAATATTAAAAAGCTATTCTTTAACTGATATAAGTCAATTTTATTATTTTATTCTAGTTCTACGTTTGATCAGCGAAAAGAGAAAAGAGAATCGTAGTAGGATATGAAATGGCAACTTTTTTCTTATGATACATAAAATAAATTTAAATAATTTAGCAATTTCACCTTGTATATGGAGTTAAATATATCTAAATGTTTAGTTGGGGTCATCGCTAGCCAAGTCTTTGGAGGCTGCGCGTGCGCTCCTACAAGTGCTCGGTGTCGGTGCGGGCGCTCTGGGCGGTGCTGAGCGGGCGGTGAAGGGCGCCGCCCACAATCACTATGGTCGGTTGCTGTTGAAGATGGGCGGCTGCTCGCGATGTCAAGGCTATGACGTCAGCCCTTGCAAGAACTATTGTCTCAATGTCGCTAGAGGGTAAGTGATTGAATTTTTATTTATGTGCTACTAATGTTTATACATTTAAATTAATTAACCTTAAATATCTGTGTGTGTATGTATGTATGTTTCCGTAATATTGTTTCTCTAAAGGAGTATAATAAGATACAAAATATAAACTTGATTATACGTGAAAAAAATACAAGGTACAATTAAATTCCCCCATCTCATTTTGCGAAACTAGGAATCCTTTTATAAAGAAACATGTACATTAAGTAAAACAAAGAATACGTATTACGAGCTAGCCTACATTTAAGAAAATGAAAAGTTATTTTCCCCATTATACAAAAATGAAATACATTTTTGTCCAGTACTACAGTACTTTTAAAGTTAAATTTAAAATCAACAAATATATAATGTACAAAAACTCGTCAATTTATCATTAAAATGTCTGTAACATATCTATTAAAATAAAAATAAAAAATTAATCAGTGGCGCTACAACCTCTTTAGGTCTGGGCCTCAGATTTCTAAATCTGTTTAATGTCAATTTTAAATCTAATAGGCAAGTGGGTGATCATCCTCCAGTGCCTGAAACCAGTGTCGACTTTTTGGGTCTAAGACATGTCGGTTTCCTCACGATATTTTCAATCGCTGTTCGAGCGAATGTTAAATGCGCACATAGAAAGAAAGTTCATTGGTGCACAGCCGGGGGTCGAACTTACTACGAGGGATGAGAGTCGCACGCTGAAGCCACTACGTTAACACTGCTCTTCTCCACAGATATCTGTTAAAACGATTTTACTAGTGAAAATAATGTAGCTATAACTTTTAAGTGCTGTTCAATGAAGCACTACTTTGAAGTATCGATTGAGCAACCCTTCACTCAAATCTGCTCTCAACATGCGCTTGTTTCAAGTATAATAGCAATTTTTATAAAAGAATATAAATTACTTGTAAGTACTGCACTTCATATGTAGTTAGGGATCGACACGAGGGCACCTCTGCCTGCAGGGTGGTCCGGGCTTATTAATATAAAAATTTAAATTATAGAAAAATTGTCTTTTTAATACAGTTGCTCAAAAAGTGGCGATTGCAGGGACGTATAGCGTTCGGGATGTGGGCTATTACATACTCTTGCTACCATTTCCGAACTCGTTCTCTTTCCCAACTGTCAAAATAATGTCTATTAAAAAGAAAAAACCAACCACGAAGTTTTTAAATTTGTCGGAACTCTTTGCAATGACAGGCTTTCCGCAGTCGTAATGAAATATACTATTTCAGATGTATTGGGTCGATAATATCAGAGCTGGATGCTCCATGGGCTAGTTACGTGGAAGGCGTGGAAAGGCTGGCAAGAGCAGACGCAGACGCCGCTCTCAGGGCGCTGGACGCCAGGGTGTCTGAAGCCATCATGCATGCTTTAGAGAACCATGTCATATTGGAAAAAAAGGTACGGATTTATATTAACATTTCCTAATAGTAAACAATAATTTACTTAGCGAATATTAGACCTACTCATAACTTTATACAGTAATTGTACCCAAAACCTTAACTAATCTAAATATTGAATTCCAATCTTAAAATTGACTACAAACTATTCTAGATAATTTGTTGTGGATATACTCCAAGTTTATTATGATTTACTTAAACAAGCTGTATAACAGCTTGTTCTAATAAAATTAGTAAAAAAGGAAATTTACATATACATCAAATTTTGTGATAAAAAAAGAACTTTAAAGAACAAAAACCCAAAAAAGCGATACCTAGAATAATATAGTATTATCAATCTTACTCACACATACATACCCTATCGTTAATTTTCAATGGACGAGTTAGAAAGAGGTCCAAACTTGACTTATCTTTTTATTTAAAGGAATTATTTTTTATTGTTGGTCGTATTCGTCGTATGAACAATCGTATACCTTAATTTTAAGGTATACGTTTTTACCTTATCTTATATTACCTTTATCACTTAAATAATAGTTTTAAGTCTGTTCAAGTCTTCAAGCATTCAAAACAGCACTTAGAGGTCGTTAAAGTAACGCTGAATATGTAAATCGTGAATAATGACTCGCAAAGTCTAATTATTGTCGTTGAAACTTTTAATGTCGGCGTTGAAAGCTCGCAGTTCCGTTTCAGTAAAAGTATCTCAACATTTACATGAAATTATTTCAATCTCAAACGCTAATAAAGCTTTTGTTAAAATATAACTGAGACATTGGTTTCATAGAATGATAAATTGGATCTCAAAGCTGAGAGATAGCAATGTATTGCTTAACCACTAAACTTAGCTTATCTTTCTTGAATTATTAAATATCAATGGATGTGTTTCTTAAGCTGTACGTTAATCAGCTGCGATGCGGACGGTGGGGTCTCTCTGCATCTTGCATTTACCATGGAAAGTGTTCAGAGGAGTTATTCAGACTAATACCTGCAGCTGAGTTTCATTATCGAACGTCAAGGCAAAATACAAAATACCATCCGTATCACCTCGACGTCCGTCGTTCCACACCTGAGCGTTTTCTAAGCAGTTTTTGCCGCGTACCAACTCTATGTAGAACCATCTGCCCACTGAAGTATTTCCGAACTAATTCGACTAAGGGTTCTTCAGGAAATGAGCGTACCAATTTTTGAAAGGCCGGCAACGCACTTGCGAGCCTTCTGGCAATGTGAGTGTCCATGGGCGGCGGAATCACTTAACATCAGGTTAGCCTCCTGCCCGTTTGCCTCCTATTACATTTAAAAAAATCTAAAAGATTAACAAAAAGGTTAAATATGAATAATTCATTCAAAAACCATAAAAATATATTAAAAATAAGAGTTAAAACTGCTTGAATTCTCTAAATATACTAATAATAGAAATATAAACAAATAGGCAACTTCGTAATGTTAAATAGCTAATACTAGTCGAGATATTTCTGCATAAAATATATTTGTGAATGCACAATGAGCTTAGCTTTGATTTATTGCGAAGTCAGCAATAAGTTGCATTTCGCGCGGAGCTCGAGATGTCAGTGACCCGAGTCGGTATAAATTGTAGGAACAATGCGAAGGCGTCAAGTTTCACAAAGAAAAATAAGGCATTTGAAGTACAACTTTAATTCACAAGCAATGAATTGTGAAGCAAATTCATGGAATCATAGTCTTACTGTAGTAATTAAAAACTGCTTTTATCGTCGCCTGCACCTCAAATAGACGCGATAGAATACGGCTTCTACGCTTATAAATTACCAATTCAGTAAATTATATTCAATGTAGATTTAAAAATGTTCCAATCACCAAAGACAAGGCACCAAATGCCTACGTATTAGTTGAATGTGCCAATGCAGTAAGTGCTAACTGCAATTTGTATTTGACAAGTGTTTCGTCAACATTGCAATCCAAGGACTGGCCAAGTGCCAGACAACTTAGCGACACAATCATTACTTGATACATTTCTCTACTCTGCCAATAAATATACTATGACTTTCTATTCTGTTCAATAAATTTATTTTTGTAAATACATTGTAAAGTCTGTATCCCGAATTTCAAGGGACCGACGATTTTTTTTGTTACATAGACATTTCGTTATAGGGAGGGAAGAGCAAGAAAAACCAAATTTAACCAATTACAATAATTTCTAATTTTATTACTATCAATAGGTAAATTATTCTAAACACAACGCTTTTCTTTTACTGGCCATCTTGACAGTTTCAAAGTTTGTTTACAACTGATAATACACGATAGGTGACGGTGGTGCGTTTAGTAACTGAGACCAAAATTTCCTACAGGCAATGTAATCTAAGAATAATGGCACACGTGTTAATGCAATAAACAATAACAAAGGCGAGAAGGCTGTTTATGCTTAAGCTGATTATAAAAACAATTACACTTAACTATGTTGTTGATGTCTAAATATGAAAATATTTCTTCGTTATAGAAAATGTTGTGTTATAAAGAGTGAATTAATGTATGGATTTTGTGTTAAACCAAACAAATTGAACAATGTAACGTTATAATAAAAATTAACATTATATGGAGTTTTTCGTTATAACGAAAGTCTTTATAAAGAAAGTACACTATATTTAATTCTTTATGTCTCGGAAGCTTATATAACTCTGTGCAATTTGAATAAAATATATACTTTAGGGTACAAGTATACACTATAGATTTTGAATTATCGACAGATTTACCACTAAATATAAGTAAAATTTACATTCAAATGTCAAATGTTTACCGCGGTCACTCTATTGTTGACTTATGTAACTTTCATTTCACCAATAATGTTGTAAAACATAATTTAATGTTAAATGATGAGGCCATAAAGTGTATGTGGGCGGGGTGGGGTCACCCGTGGGCGCCGGTCACAGAACATCTTCGCTATAGACTAAAATTTATCGATTATAGTCTGTGACTGATTAAATCTGTGCACAGATTATAAAAATGTTTATAACGGTTTAATTGGCTTATTCGATTTCAAATTGGTTTTAATATGTAATAAGGATTAATTTTATTTTTAAATGTTACGAAAGTTTATATTACAATATTAATTGAAATTGTGATTTCTTGCAACTATATTGGGATTTTCTTCGAATTATACACGGTTTAATTCGTTTACTTTCGAGCGGAAAGAAATTAATATGTTTTGACAGCGGCTCAAATTTAGTTGTGTTCAGCGCCATCTAACAATGAAAATGGCTGACATCTTGCCAATTGAAACGTAGTAACGGCCTTATCATAAAACGTGGACTAAGTAACGTGTTTGTAAGCACGGTTGCCATTATTACATAGAAACCCCTTATATAATAATATACTAACAATACAATCTTGTGTGTATTTATTTGTCAGAATATATTTTGTTGAATTTACTAGGAGCATATAGAGCAAGCGTAGGTTTCCACTTGATGAATATTGAAAGCTAACAAGTCAATAACAGTATTCATTTCAATAAATCATTATAATTTAATGCAAGAACAATTATATTTATGTGTATGGTTATTCAAATGTACAAAGGGTTTTATTATGATATATTTTATAAACAAACAACAAATTATATATTGTTTTTATACCTACACCAATATTACGAAGAAAAAGATTTTTTTGGTATAGAATCAACTCAAAAATGGATTGACTCCAAAAAATTATTTTACCGAGAGAATATTCCTTACATAGCTTATATTTATTTATTTACACTTCGTTGCAAATAAAAGAAACACAATACATAAAAATTATAAGGGTTGCAACGGGCGGCCTTAACGCTAATAAGCGATCTCTTCCAGGCAACCCTAGTTAAAGAGAAAAACTAAAAAAAAGAAACATGATGCGTGCGAGAAGTGCAGAACCAAATGTTATATATATATATATATATATATATTTAACCTTAATCTAAAGTAATACAAAAGAAAATATTAATAACAGACTAAAAACTTAAAAGCTAATTTTACAAATTCATGAACAGCAATAGTGATGCAAAAGGAAACTTAAGAATTATACAAGTCACGATTGATCAGGATAGGATAAGGTTAACAAATGATTATACAGAAGAGTTTTAAAAGATGACAGAGAGGTAGCCAATCGTACGGAGTCGGGCAGCCTATTCCACAACTTAATAGCGGATATCGTGAATGAATTGCCTAAGAAGGATGAAGTGTGGGATGAAATTTCCAATAAACATCAAGAATTTGAAGTGATTTTTGAGATAAGAAGGGGTTTTCGGATTGAAAAGAATTGAGTATAGAAGTTGAAGAACAAAAACAAGAATTTGAAGTGATTTTTGAGATAAGAAGGGGTTTTCGGATTGAATAGAATTGAGTATAGAAGTTGAAGAAGATGAGCGTGACGTCTGAATCGAATAGGTAGCCACCCCAGCTGCCTGCGGAATTTAGACACATGGTCATATTTTCTAAGAGCAAATATGAAACGTATGCATAAATTCTGCAGGCGTTCGATCTTGTCAAGGAGCTCTTCGTTCAAATCAGAGGAGCATGGGTCCGTATAATCGAGAATAGGAAGGAGAAGAGATTATTTATTTCCGAATTATCATAAATGGCCAGCCGCAGCCGCGACAGGCAGGAGGTTCGCCAAACTCCAAAAAATGGAAAAAAAATATGGTGGAGTTTAGTAGTTTATGTGCCCATTTTGAAAGATCGATACACGATTTAAAAACTTCGCTCGATAGAAAAATAATCATAACATAGCCAATTTTTGATACTTTGAATTCATTTTATATAACATGATTTTGAAATTTACACGATATATTTTATCGCAAGCCAAGTAATCCATTTCAGAAAAAAAAAATTGATAAAATTACATGAATGTAATGTTTTACATAACTAATTATTGTTATTACGGGCCGGCGCGCCTCAGTGCTCCAGCTCTCCACTGCGCCCCGCAGACACTGACACATAAATTCGTACTGGGATAGGGCCTTAAAGTACAATACTGTACTTAATCAGAAAAACAATTTACAAA